ATAATTGGGAGGGGGGCCGCGGCTGTTCTTATGTTCTCTGAGGGGAGGCTCACCTACCCACACTTTGAAAACCCCTGCCCTATAGGGAAATACATTACAAGTACAAGTTCTGAAACTTCTTAACAGGGGCTTCATTTGGACATGTTTTGATGAGGCATCTTGGTGCATAACATATCATTTAAATATTATTGTTCATGAACTTTCATCCTCTTAACGCTTCTGTGTGCCATCTTTTGTGTCTCTGTATTTGTGTGTCTGTGTGCCTGTTGTGTGTGTGTCTGTGTGTGTGTGTTTGTGAAGTGACAGCGAGATGGAGATTGAAGCAGAGCACTATACCAACGGAGTTGTTGAGGGCTCCTCAGCGCGGATCATGAATGGCACATACAAACACGAAGAGATCCTTCAGCCAGATGACAACAGCATTGGCAATGGGGTCACAGGTAAACACACACACACACACACACACACACACACACACACACACACACACACACACACACACACACACACACACCTCGTGTTTCATATACAGTTTTCTTCCCTTGTTTAAATCATCTTCATGTGCTTTGTCGTTTACCCCACCTCATATCATGTTTAAATTCACCTTCCATCAGGATGTGTTTTTATTTAACCCTGTGTGTACTTGTGTGTCTGTTGCCAGCAGATGATGGTTGCAGTAATGGCCGACAGCTCTGTGGAGGGAACCAGGCCGCCACAGAGAGGATGATCCAGTTTGGACGGGAGCTACAGTCGCTCAACGAACAGCTGTGTCGCGAGTATGGCAAGAACACCACACACAAGAAGATGTTACAGGTACACACACACACACACACACACACACACACACACACACACACACACACACACACACACACACACACACACACACACACACACACACACACACACACACACACACACACACACACACACACACACACACACAAACTGCACATGCTCACACTTTCACGGAAGAGATTTCCTCTGTTGGCCCCAGCTAAAATCCTCAGTGCAGCATTCTGTACACGCTGCAGGAATTTGAGAGATGTTTGATTTAGGATGTGCTGTCGTAAAGCAGATAGAGTCCATCTGTAGCATCCCGTGGGTCGGTTCTCTGGAGGTGGAGGAGAGGGCTCGGATGACTTTGGACTGCAGGATGTGTCCTCTGATTCATAAGCAGCCACCCTGAGAACAATAGAGCCTCTGGAAAACACAAAAACTGCAGGGGAATGATAAAGGCTCTGCCAAGGGGACAGTCTGTAGTTATTTGTTAAACACAGACGTGATAGAGGAATGTTGTAGTTATTGCATTATAGCAAAAAATCTATCACAACAAACATGGCCCTGTTCTTGTTTCTGCTACTGTTGATTTAATTCCAGCTGCTGAACCCCAACTTAGAAAGACTTCATACCAAGTGACGGATTAAGAAAATACATGAAACTGGATTTTGTAATTTAGATTAATGGTTACTAGTTCCTTTTCTTTATGGCGGTCATTTTTGACCGGGAACACCATGGTTGTTACAAAGTTTACTAAATCATCCAAAATGCAATGAAAGTGGTGATCAGCCATTTTATATGTTCAAATGTCTACTGTGAATGATATCATAAAGCCTTAATGCAATCGAATGTAAAACAAAAAAGTTATGATTGATGAAAGTAGTAAATCGGTCAGATTTGACCCGAACGCAACAGGAGGGTTAAAAACAATATTTGTATCACTGTGGCTCTTCTTAATCCATACAATGTAGAAAGAGCATGTTATGTTTCTTGTAAAAATTTGCAGATTTTAATTCAGCTTTGTGAGCCATATTGTTTTGTTGTCCCATACTTACACCCACTGAATGAATTTGCTTAATGTTTTTCACTTTCTTTGGTGGATATTTTTCTTCTTTTGTTTTTCTTGATATTTCAAATATCGATAATCCTAAAGTAATGGAAAGTAATCAGGTTACATGCTTGGATAAGTTAGTGATTACATTTGCTTTACAGCTCATTTGTTATTGAAACGGAATACATTTCCGTTGATATAAGTGATATAAGCTGCTGTCACGCCCACTGGGTGGCAGCGATGCTTCAAACCTTTTGAAAAATTGAAATTTCGGGCCGCCATATTGCTCACTTGGTAGAGGTAGCGGCGCATGTACTGGGCACGGCCCCCAAGCGGATTTGGGTTTGAATCCAGCTCGGGACCATTTACCATCGGGACCATTGTCATCCGCTCCGTCTCCACGTTTCAAATCTATGTCTAATAGAAATGAAGTACAATTTAGGACACAAGATTCCTGCCTTTAATTTAAGCAGATATCTGTTTGCTGCCTCTTTTGCATTCCCCCAATCATTTACAAGATCGGGGTTTCTCACTGGCAAATGAATGTGTTGAACTTCAGGATCTATATGCTAGATGGCACATTTGGGATTCTAGAAAACCAAAACAGTGAGCTTAAAGAGGCTCAAATATGCTGCTAAAAAAAAACTGACAATGACATGTAGTGAAATTTAGACTTGGCCTAAATGAAATTATAAACTCGATTTAGGAAGCTGCATAATGTATCGTTCAGATCTTCCAATGAATTTATTTTAGAAGTACCGAAAGTATTACACAAGAAATCTGGGGAGGCTGCTTTTTGTTTTTATGGCCCCAAACTGTGGAACAGCATCCCATTGGATCTTAGAACAGCAAACTCCAAGACCTATCTTTTTAATTTGGGGTCATTTCAGTTTTATCACTGTTCATGTTTTATTGTTTTATGGTTCTGTGATATAACAATTTGCTTGTTTATAAAGTTTTTCCTTATGTTCCCCGATCTTTATTTTGTATCTATAAAACATTTTGGGCTGCAACTTGCGTGCTATATAAATAACGTTTATAATTATAATAATGATGTCTGTCTGTAGGATGCATTCAGCCTGCTAGCGTACTCGGACCCCTGGAGCTGCCCGGTGGGCCAGCAGTTAGACCCCACCCAGAGAGAGACCCTCTGCTCCGCACTCAACAGCGCCATACTGGGTAAACAGCCAACACTGATGCATACTGTGGGGTTTGTTCACTGTAAATGGACATCCAAACCAACAACAATAACTATACATATATTGTTTAAAAGATGTACTAACCAACTTGAGAACAATTAAAAACGTCCTTTTGAATACACTACAGATACAACATTTATGATGAACTTGATTTTGAATCTTATCGTTATTAATAAGAATAAGGAAACAGTTTAAAATAACTCAAGGAGAGAGAGATGCTGCTGAAGAACACTTTCTTGATTAATCAAAAATAATACCAATGCGCCTTCATAGAGTTATTTAGTTACAAACATGAGTTATTATTATCTGAGGTTAAATCATTAATCAATTATTATCATCCTGTGATTATGATGTAAATACTGTAGCTGTATATGAGGGTCATTCAAATATCTATTAGTATCACCAACATGCTTACATGACCCAATGTTAAGCTTCTCAAGGTGACAGTGCTGAAAAAACAGCTGGTGCATGCATCATTTGTTTGTTGCCACTCTTGACAGAATGTTATTGTACATACTTGTGGATGCTCACATCAGTATATTGTTATCTTTAAAGTTATTCTTCTTCTTGTGGATTGCCTCTTACATTGTGACATTGTTATAGCCATGTGGCAAAAAGAGAGCAACCCCTTGACATTATCTCTGCCTTTTAATATGGAGTTTCTAATACCCAGCCCACACACTTGATGCATTATTGTGACTTATGTGCTGCACCTTTTTCTGCCTGACTGTGTTTTTCTGCTCTAGAGTCCCAAAACCTGCCTAAGCAGCCTCCACTGATGTTAGCGCTCGGCCAGGCCACAGAGTGTGTTCAGCTCATGGCCCGAGTCCGCTCTGGCTCCTGCTCATTCGCCAGAGTAGACAACTTTTTGCACTAGCCCAGGTGAGCAAGTTTATGTGAGATAAGACCACAGACAATACATGTTTCTGACACAATACCTTATTTTCTCAAAGTTGGAGTTTTTCTGATGGGTCATGCTAGCTTTGCATTCCCCATCCCCAAGATGGGAACCAGTTTTTTGTAAAGAGGCACAAGAAACCTAAAACCTTCGAGTTAGACCTACATTTGACGAAAAAACGTTCCAAACACTAAACAGTCCAACTGAAAGTAAACTCATAAATAAGCTCCTCGATTAGCTATTGTAGCTAACTGCTGAGCGATTAACCCCCTGAAACTAACCAGCTTACCAAACTAGTTATTCTTCTGCAGGAAAGTCAGCTGGCTAATGCTAATTCAAACAGCTAGTGTTTGCCCATAGTTTAAGCTAACCTTAGCTCAATGGCTTTATGGAAGTTAAATGACTGAATAACTGTGTCCACATGCCACTGTTAAGATGGTGTAACATTAAATACAAATGTTGTGTTTATACTTACACTTCCACTAATACAGTGGAAGTATAATTCTATTCTGGTGATAAGAGGCTTTGCTAATAATCCTAATTAATTTGCTGAATCACAGCGACACTGCCTCGCAAATTGTAAACCGGTACAGAACAGATAGCTTGGTTAGCTAGCTTGGTTAGCCCTGAAGTGGATCTGGAAATGGATAGCCATCATAGCTAATCCATGGTTTGTTATCCATTCTCTGGTACACCTTTTTACTCCCAGGATTACATTTCCTGTATCTCTGCAAGAGAGGTGGCAAGTGCAAAGTTAACATGATCCATAGAAAGGGTTGCCAAAATTAAGATAATAAGATCCAATTAAAAGATATCGTACTTTTGTGTTGTATTTTCTGAGGGACATACTGTATGACCTTTGGCATTTTGAGCATCCTGTATCGAAGCATTTGGAAAAGTATTCAAATGATGTGAAGGTACAGGGTGTAACAGTCCCCGTTTATTATTTTTCTACGTAAACATTTGTCAATGCAATAATTGAAAAAATTTAAATAACTTAAACATTGGTCATATCATATGTCAATATCTTCAAAATGAAATACAAATACCAAAACCCCACATCTATGCTGAGCATGAAAATGAACTCAAGCTGTTTTAATCATGTTACATCATTCATTACCCTGCTTAGATGATTGCCCGTCTCTCCACAGGTTAATGTTAAGTAGCACTGAGAGAAGGCATGTCCTGCAGGTAGTTGTCATGGCGACGGAGGAGAGAGCATGCGTGTGATTGGTTTGTTTGGCTGTCCATCTGACCAAGCCAGCGGCACCGACAGAGGAGAGGCGAGCGGGAGAGAAGAAGGCTTCCTTTTAATTTAGTATTATCAAATAAAGAAATGTGTGACACTATTTAAAGATAATTAATTATTATTCTGTTTATCTAGCCATTTTTATAGTTCTTTTTTGTCAGATTGTTGTGCTCATCCTCGACAAAACAAATTGTTAATCCCCTTTTTAATTGTTCTTATGTTTTATCGCGTGGATTTTGATTTCCTACGGTCAGTATTTTATTCAATTTTGTGTTGTTCACCATATCACAAACCACAATACACACATCTTGTTACTGCGGTAACCCCCACAATTGTAAGTCAACAGTTCCTGAGGCATATTAACCTCATCTTTGATACAGAAGACAGATGCTGAACCCTTTATCCTTCCAAAATACTTGAAGTAATTATGTCTTGTATTACATCCAGCTGTGGCCAGCATGAAAACACATTTGATTGTGTGGAGATGCTGAAAGAAAAAAAAAATAGACTGATGCAAGACACACGTGGGCCCCTCAATTATTCCAGAGGTTCAAAAATAATGGCTTGCATCCTGTGTAAAAAAACTGAATTGAAGGACCTCTGTAGAGAAGAACACTGCCAGTATCAAGGGGGACCATTTTAAGGACGGGATTACATTGGAATATTAGAGGTGTTGAAGCCTTAATTTTACTGTAACGACCAGAGCATCGACCAATCAGTGATGTGGTTGAAGGTGGCAGAGCTCAGCATCAGCTGCAGCTACAACACCTGCTCAAGATCCAATGTAACACTATTATCAGGGTCGACTTCATGCCAGCAGAAAGAAAATCAGGTTCAAAAGTAGACTAACAAGCACAGGGTGTGGACGGCTAAAAGTCAAGCCCCCCCCCAAGGATTTTCATTACAATATTCTTATTTTCTTTCTATTTTATTTGGTTGGCCTCCACCTGACCTGTTCTGTACATGTGCTGTAGCAATTATAGTTTAAAACGAAGAGGAAAAATTATTTGCCAAATTCATTTTAGGGTGATAATTGGGATAATTAAGTAATTTCATTTATTTAATTAGGGTGATTGAGTGGAAACCTCTCAAAGGTTGTTTAATGTGTTGAACCAATCGTTTTTTTCACACAGAAACCTCCATTTCTCTTTCAACCATAAGCTTAAAGTGATTATGTCTTGCCTATTACTGGACAGGCGGTAAGTTCATTTATGAAGCCCAAAGGTGTGTCCAAGAGTGCCTCCCAGTACATTAACTTGATAAAAAGATGATGAAGAAAGATCCAGATTGTTCCAATATCCTCCTGTTTTGGAATCGGTTCAGTTATAAAAAAGAAAAAAAAATCACCTTTTGATTTAGCCCCCAACAACAGCTTTCAGCAAATGTGTTTAGTGCCCAAACGTTTTTGATATTATATGATACAAGACATTGTGAAATAACTGAGTGAACTGTAATTGAAACAATAAATTGTGAAATAATTTAGTTTTTCATGCTTTTCCATAAAAAATGCCCTCTTTTAAGAGTCCCCCTCAAGTTTCCAAAATGTAGCCAGCTAGCTCCAATTAGCTACTGTAAAACTATGTGGCTGTTTGCTAGCTCCAAAGCCAGAAACTCTTTTTGGTTCAACCAACTATTTGTTGCTGCTTATGAACACAATCCACAGTAACACAGCTGTCTTTCTTTCTTTTGAGCTTCAACAGGGCAACTTAAGCTACCTAGCTGGGCTGGTTTTTGGGCTTTGAATGACCTTGTATGATTATTCATAATAGCAAATATTAGCGACAGCAGCTAATTCTGACTTAAGTAGTTAATTGATTCTGGAAATGTTTCTCTGAGAAAGGAGCACCACTGTTATGTGCAAAAACACACATTATTTGCTGTTGCTAGCTAGCTCCTGTTGGGCCTGAGATTGGGCTTTTTCGGGAGTGGAAGGCGCTTAAATGCATCAATTCAGAAGGAAGCTGAAAACGGGTACATTCAGACTGACACTAAGAGATACATACACACATATTTTGAGCATTTTTGTGAAAATAAAAGCAGGTAAACTTGTTTAAGTAGGAACCCAAATTACAAGTGTAAACCTTTTTAATGATCTCCCAGCTTATCGGCTCTTGTATATTTGGTCACAAGATTGTTTATTTCACTGTGTCTTGTTTACTTATCCAATATTGAAGTTTAATATTATTAATTTTCAAATGTTATCATTATCATCCGTTTCTGTCTCTGTATCCGAAAAGATGATTGTGTATTGCACAATGAAACAAATTTGACTCAACTACACCTTAATTCCAGTCCAATAACTGGGCTTTGATAACAAAGCTTTTGTTTCACCCCTCAGCTTTATTTGAAACATTTTCATTCTATTGTTTTTACATCAGACTATTTTCTACCAAATAGAAATGATTTAATGTTTTTGTCTGACTAGTGGCAAACTGTCACTTTGGCTGCTTTGTTGTGACCTCCCAAATGGCTTGTGGATCCACCCTGAAGTGTATATTTCCATTTATAAGAGAATAGAGAAATATGGAATAATATAATACTGGAGATGTGTGTATGCAATGTGGGGTTTACAACAGGGTATGTGGTTATCTTTTTTCCGAGCTGGTTTTTATTAAGACCTTCAGATATAATAGGAACTATTCTAATAACCTCACATGCAGTACTCACAATATCTACAGCTGTAAAGGACTTATGTTACACACACACACACACACACACACACACACACACACACACACACACACACACACACACACACACGTGTGTGAAAGACAAACCTCTGTTGCATACCTGTAGGGAACAAGTCTCCCAGTTGTCCTTTGTGTTTGAGCCTGGGCTGCGTCTCAGCACTGTTACCATGCACCCTTCCTCTTATCCCTGCATAGACATAGCCACTGATGTGATCAGTGATTGTTTTTAAGAAATGGAGGAATGTGAACAGTTTAGGAAACGGGCCTGAGGCCCCTGAAGCCACATGGACTTCTTCAGGAGAGGCCGGAGAAATGGATTTAGGCATTGCAGGCGAGCTGTGCACAATTGACTTCTATCATGATTTAAATTTCATATTTTGACTTTGAGTTTTAGCAACAAAAAAAAACTATTGTGAAATGAGTTACCCTCTACTTAGCATGACTTTTAAAATGATATAAAAAAAGGAAAAATGATAATTGAAAAAAAAAACCTATGTACTGGAAACATCTTAAAAAAGAAATATTGTATTCTGTTTAATTTTGACAGAATTATTTTTATTAAAATACATCCATAAGCATATGATTGATCTCGTGTGTTTTTTTCCCATGCTTCCTAATTTGTATTGTATTATGCATCTCAGATACATCACCTTTACAGATACATAATCAAGGATCAATGGCTCTATAACAAAACAACACTGACTTTATAAAAGCAAGCTCAAAACATTGGGCAGTTTGCCACAAAATGTGACCTCAAATGTAAAAGCTATGGCACAATTGGTGACCTGAGGAAGGAGTTGATGAATGACGGCTATAACAAACTTATCAAAGCTTCAAAGGTATCATAATAATGTAAGTGCTATGATAAGACGATGTTTGAGCTTTTAAAGACACCCATTGAAGCCCTATAATCAGGCTTCTTTAATTAGACGTATGTCTAAATGTTCAGGTTGTTAAATAAAACACTAACCTTGCCCCCGTCACACACCACTGGGTGTAAGACGTACAGTATGCTGTTCATGATGTAATTAACACACACTTTGGCAGTGTTTATAACTCGTACTGTGGAATAGCATTCGTGTGATAATGTTTCTATTTCCTGTTAAATTTCCTCTTCACAAAATGAAACTGTGGAAACATTTTCCCAACAAACTGAAACAATTGCCACCGGGACAAGCTTCTGTGTGTGTTTACTGTACATTACAACCACAATTTTGAATCACTTCAACGACTGTACTTATTTGCGCATCCTGCTTTATACTATATGTCATCTATTATTTCTAGTGTTCAATATGTTTCTGTATTATAGTAATTGAACAGCAGAGGGCAGAATGAGATTGGGAATACATAACCATCACTAAGAGGCGTGTTGTGCGTTGGTGTTCGGATCAGGGGGTCATAGGTTCAAACCCCACTGCAGTCAGCATGTCGTTGTGTCCCTGGGACACTTCCCCCCAAATTGCTCCTGTGGGGATTGCCCACAGTATTGAGTATGTAAGTCGCTTTGGATGAAAGCGTCTAACAAGTAACATGGAATGTAAGAGAAATCCTTAGAGTAGAACCAAAACAAATTGCTAAGTATGTAAAGGTTATTAATAACACTAAGTAAAAAACGAAATGGCAGGTATATGTACACCATGGTAATAAACATGAAATTGCAGGGGGTTATATTGCACTCGTATTTCTATTGCACAAAGTTTAATATGTTCAGACGTGAAATGTGTGGGGGGGTCGACTAGGGTGGTTGTACAGCCTGACCACTGAAGGAGCTGCACAGTGCGTACATGGTGTCCTGGAGGGGGTGGGATAAATTGTCCAATAGTGATTACAGCTTTGCCATCACCCCCATGTCCCCCAACACCTCTTCAGTGTCCAGAGGACTCCCCAGGACAGAGCTTGCCTTCTAACCCTAAACTCTTCCATAAGTCGGTCAAAAGGACCCGTATTAGAATAATGTGTTTTTATGCCATTTTTGTCATTTTGGTTAAGAAAAATCACTGGAATAATATTTAGTATTATAATTTGGTTCAAAGTAGAAATATTTTATATTTAATTTTTCACAATTTATAATTTTAGATTTTTTTTTACATTTTGAAAAAAAACGTTTTGAACATATTGTCCCAAAGATCTCCGCTATTGTGAGACCCTCACAGTATTCCAGTTCCTTTTCAAAACTCATCTCTTCTCCTCTTGTCTACTCATGGCCCCCCCCCCCATCAATCCATGCCGGTTGATCAAGTTTGATAGTCCTATACACCCCACCNTCATTCCCTTCACCTCCACCTACCTGTGTGAGTGCAGGTTTTCCGCATTGACTTTGATCAAAAGCAAGTACCAGATCATCCTCTGGCTGCAGCCTTGACCGGTACTTGCTTTTGATCAAAGTCAATGCGGAAAACCTGCACTCACACAGGTAGGTGGAGGTGAAGGGAATGAGCACTTTTACAGCCTTTTTGGCGAGGTGGGGGAACTCGGTCTCCACAGACAGCCACAAGTGGGCAAGTGTCACTTTACTGTCTTTTTCTCGTTCTTTTTTGTCTCACGCTGCGCCTCCCCTGAAGCTCTCTGGCGCCCCCCAGGGGAGGCGCGCCTCACACTTTGAAAACCGCTGCTATAGGGTATGCTAACAATGTATAAATCAATCACATTGCTAAAACCTGAAGAAAGGTCCCCTTTCCAACAGTAGTCCACTAAGGCAACAAATACAGAGATTTGAGACATTTTAACAATTTCATCTAAACCATTTATCAAGTCTCTAATGAACTGAGTGTTAATCAAAAGTCAACTAAGTGGGTAAAATGACATCAGACCTTGAAATGATGACCAGAAATACAAAAGAATGAGTGCTCAGGTCCCAGCTCACTTCTTAATGTGTGTTTGCAGCGTTTCGTTTATTCTACACTTTTCATTCGCTGCGCATGTCTCGTCAAGTCTTGAAGATCATTCTTTATTTGCATGTGTATGTTTTTTGTATTTTGCGTCATTTCTGAAGGTGCAGCGTGTTTGACCTAATGGAAGAGTTTGGGCTGAGGCAGTGCGTTTGCACCTTTCGGCCGCCATACAGCTACTTCCTAATACACCGGTGGCAGTGCCTTGACAAGGCATAAACAACGTTTATTGGCTTAATGTATGATCGACTACACCAACCATGATAACGGGAACCTCACGGAAAAGGTGTCAATTAAAATAAATAAAGCCCACAAGAAGCCTTTACAATGGATCATTTCATGTATGAAATCTGGTAGACAAACTGATTGAAATACAAAATAATTGAGATTAGTATATATAATGAAACAGGGCCATCTCACAGCTGTGGCTACTTTTCCCCATCAGTTTGGAAAGCCCTGAGTCAGTGTCATAGATGGTGCCAATGTTCCTGAGTGCCAACGTTTTTATTAGCTTGCACTGATTACATATTAATGTCTTAAGATGATGGTAATGATTTATTGATGATAAACTGTCCTGTAACCTACATCTGAATTTATTTGTAAGCATAAACTGAGTAATGATGCCATCAGTAATGCTCTAAATCAAGGGTGGGGAACCTCCGGCCCCCGGCCGTATACGGCCCGCGAGACCATTTGGTACGGCCCTCGAGGTAATTTATAAACACACGCAAAAAAGAAAAAAAATGAAGAAACCTAGACCGCAAAATAATTAAACAAACGAGTGCCTGTTTTTCCTGGCCAACGTCAGGGTCCTTGAACACAACACGAGCCTAACGTGTCATCACGTGGTATATGTCTCGTCTGACGAGTGTAGTTCTGACGGAGAGCACCAGAACGCGGCTCCAGCACTTCAGAAATTGCAATACCCATAAGGAGCTGTACACATGCCGTAGTTTCTGCGTGGCTGTATCTTTATTTGAAAGCCCAGTGGCGACCTGTTCATCTGTCATACTGATCATAATAACTTTGTTGTTATTAGCATCTGGTTAGCTAGCTATGCTAACGAATATAAGAACCAGTGAGGTATAGGCACATCTTTATATGATCATTATAGTTATAAAAAAAATAAGAGAATAAAGTAAACGGGTATAAAATACTATATGACAGTAAAAAAAAGTTGTTATTAATAAACAAGAATACAGTTTGAAAGGGGAGTGATTTGTAAAATATCCATAAAGAAAAATAAATCTGCTTACAGGTCTGTTTCATATGGATGTTGAGAGATGTATCCATAGATCTCCTAATGTTGCTCTCAAAGTGCACCAGATTGATGCTTTTAACTTCAACATTTAAAAAGAAATCTTCCCGGGGGAGCATGCCCCCGGACCCCCATAGAGGATGTAAGGCCCCCCCCTCCCCCACTTAAATCATGTTCACATGGATAGGAAACTAAATACATTTGCACATGTCTTGTGTCCAATATCTTTCTGTTTTGGTGGCCATGTCACAACCGTGCACGTGCATGCATGCGCGAGTCATGGTCAAATATCTGGATTAAGAGGTTGCTTTTTCTTTGCACAGCATGAAAGAAAGGCGAAATGAATGGGCTCTGATTTTAGTATTTTTAAGCAGAGGTCAATCATTTGTACGGCCCTCGGAGGATGTTGAAAAAATTGAAATGGCCCTTAAGAGGAAAAAGGTTCCCCACCCCTGCTCTAAATGCTTCCTACCTGGTTTCCTGGGTGCTGTTGGCGCTGTGCGGCTGGCTCTTGGTGGAGTCGGAGGAGTTGGACTCGGAGTAGTTGACGGAGGAAGGGGAGGAGGAGGAGGAAGAGGAGGTGGAGGAGGACACGCTGGGGTATTTGACGCTGCTGTTGCCGGTGCCACTGTGGCTCTTTGACTTGTTGGGGGGGGTCACTCCGTTACTGCAGGTTGGGCTGTCTGACCCTGTGTGTTGTAGGGGACAGTCAAATGAAGACATACATCTCATTTCCTTCAGCTACTGGGATTTGGGACTGGCATTTCCATCTATCTAACACTTATGTGCAATATAATACTATTGATGATCAATAGTATTACTGGCTGCTACACTTTAGTGAAATAATACTGTGCAAGATCTCCTTTTTTATATTTAAAAAGCAACTTACTTTTATACACTTTTACTTATCTTTTGTACCCTGCATGTGTACTTCTTCGATTGGAATTATCTTTCTAAGATATTATGTATATTATTTGTATGTATTTTATTATAATTTAATTTAAAGATGGGTTTATTTCTACTTTCTTTACTATTTTCATTACATGCATAGACAAAAAACTGCTATCGAAATGTAAGAAATAATAAGGCATGTTTTTGTTGTTGTTAAAAAAGAAACCCGCCTTAAAGAATGAGTTTGTTTTTGTACAAAATGACATGTATGGTCAAACCTAGTCAATAAAAGCCTTTCTTATCTATTTATCTAAAAAGTTATCTACTCTTCTTATTTTGTCTTTATATCTAAATGTAAAGTTTCTATGTGTTGCTCTGAGAGGACAGCGGTTAAGAATAAAAAGTGTGTGTACCTCCGGTGTTTAGGTGTGTGTTGCTGGCTCCGTGGCGGGGGCTGAGGCTGGGGGAGCCGGGGTAACTGTCCTGGGACTTTGGGGAGCGGATGGGCAAGCAGCGGACCTCGCCGTCTGTACCGTTTACCATCTCCACAAACTGGCGACACCTAAAAAGGAAGGTGGACCGGTGTTAATTGTATTTACTGGGAATGCTTCTTTATCAACAGCGTTTAACAGAAATATGCATCCACAGCAGCATAGAGTGGTGCAGGACGGAGTCTCAAAACCTGGAAGGGAGTTAGCATTTTATCATGCAATTTCCCTTGTCTGGAAGTCAAGTTGTTCTTTAGACACTTGAAAAAGATCCATGGTTACCACTGGCTTAGAGATTTTTTTCTATGATATAAACAAGGGCCAATAAATACCCCACTGGTGAATGTCTTCAACTTCTATGTGTCATAAAAATAGCGGTTGCTAACAAGTGATTCATTGAGACGACTAAACGTCTCAGACTTTCGCCGCCTTTAGCTTAGAGGTGGTGATGCGCAGCCATGTGACCATGGTGTGGTTTGTTTATGGTTGTAAAAGTAAGGTTTTCTACTTTTGTATTTAAGCTTCAAAAATCATAAAAGTGGTGTTAATATGTTCCTGCTGAACAAAATATGTAAGTATGATAATTGTCCGTTTACCATAGCTCTTTTTTTGCAATATTGTGAATTCCAATGGAAAACTCCCATTTCTTTCTGTCTACTGATCACTTGCAATGCTAACTTTGCGTGTTGGCCTACAAAAATACATCATCACTGCACCACTCTATCGGTGAAGGTAGACAATCAGTGTTCACCTATACAGATTAGTCATGACGCAGCATCTTTGACCTACATTGGATGTTTATCTTTTAACAGCTCTGACTTACTTCAACATGAAGAGTAGGTTTGGGTTGTGTTCTAACAGGCCTGGATAAAGTTGCTGAGTAGCCTCTATGGCTTCGCCCACCCGTCCTGCCAGCACCAGCTTCTGTATTCCTATGAGATAAAAGAAACAGGGCTCTATTTACAGTATATTGATCAAGCAAACATTTTGAAAGAGGTCAGTGTGTCATTCATAGAGGTCATAAGTGGACAATCAATACACAGTGTCTAATTCTGGACGTTGTTTGTTTCAAAATGATGAGTGACTTAGCATTTTAGTCTACTCTTTGTAATGTTAGGTGCTGTAATAAATACTGTATGTGATCATTGTAACTAGTCGTATACAAATGTAAATATAAAATATGTGCGTATTTGGTTTGTTAACTCACTCTGCCTGTTCTTTATAGATGTCTGGTCCTCTTGTATCAGGGTCTCTGTGGCCCTGGCAAAGGCTGTTGCGGTGGCACAGTACCCATGATGCACCAGGTAACTAGACACCATACTGGAGGCAAGTCAGGGGAAAATCATTTAAAGGTTGCCTTTTTTAAAGGATAATTGAGGACACATCTCTAAGAACAGGTACAAATATGGTTTATTCATTAAAAAAAATGCACTTATTTCCAACAGCTGGGTGCTGAAGTGTTTAACAAACCTTACTCAAACATCAGTAATGCATTGGTTGGTGCCTTTTTCCTCCAGTAGATTATTCCAAATGTGGTGGTCGAGTGAGAATTTGCATCATACAGAAAACTACAGTGCTCATCTTTATGTTAATAAAGGAACATTTCACCCAATAAAACCGCAATGTGATTTGATTAGTGTTTGGAAAACAATTTAGCTCTACGGCACAGAGGAATAAGATTTAAGGCTTAAGTAAAGAAAAATGTTGGAATGTTTCAGAAGTATTTTGTGTAAAATGAACCCTTTTCAGATGCAACAATGTTAACTTTTACTGCTTTTTATTGAAATAACAATTATTGCTTTCAAATGTATTACTGTAGCATCACTCAAAACAGTGTGTCCTTAATAAAACAAATTTTTCTTTAATGTTGATAACAAATAATCAGCAATGCAGATTTTCTAAAAGAAATATTTGAAACGTTAAAATTCAAGTCTGATCCACATGTTTTGATGTTGGATTACAGACACAATTAATAACATAGATTTGTACTTCGAACGTAGCAGAAGTAGGAACAAAAGTCAATAGAAGCTTGTATTTGTGGAGGTGTGTAATCTCACTTCTGCAGGACAGCCTGCCACTCCCCAAGCCTCTCTCCTATGGGGAAGCGAGCGATCATGCCATGGATCTTCGCCCGCCATTCACTCATGTAGTCCTCGATGTCGTAGACAAACGGCTGCTGGCCAAAGTTTGCGTCTACGATCTCACCCGGAGTTTGGAGCCCCACAGTGGGGTACAGGTTGGGCTAGGGGATATTAAAGATAAACACAAATTCAGGTTATAAAGTTTAAAACTTCCAATTTTGTAATTTCAAGGGAATGACCTTAAAGCACCACCTGGTGGCCAAAACAAAGCCCTAAACACACCGCCAACTAAATACAACTTCAAATCTGACTTATTTTTGGGGAGCCCATTGGAAATGAATGGGGCTGTGACGGATTAACAAGGGCTGCACATTTCTTTGCAGTGCTCCATAACGGCTACGGCACACCACATATCTAGGTGAATGTACCAATGTCTAAGTGATAAAGCCGGATTTTTAAGCTGCCAAATACGTGTTTAGTCATCAGTTCATGGTGGCAGCGGAGTTGTTTGTTTACCTACAGCTCCAACTGGGATACTAGACAATACAGTAGGTCCACTGTCACCTTTTTATTGATTTTGGAAACATCCTGGTTTGTAAAATATACTTCATGCCTATTGTTAGAGCCACAATTAAGTCAGGGTTATTATTTCGAGTCATCATTTGATAAATGATTTAATGATGGAAAATGATTTATATTGCCATGGTGAATATGTTTTGATGAAGTGATTGTTTAATTTTATATCGTAAATATTATCTGTTTCCGTGTACCTTCCAGTGTGTATTTAAGTGAGGTAATTGAGGACAGCCGGCGTGCTCGGAGACCTGATGAGACGGGGAGCGGAACAGTTTTTCGACCGAAAATTGCAGACAGAAATTAGTGTTGCAAATTGGAATGCAAACAAAGTATAGTTTAGTTTATATAGGAAAGCATACCGCCGAAATATTGTTTAAAGATTTGTTATTTTGAGACTATTTAAGTCAATACTTTTTTGTTAATAAATTACATATTTTTGACTGAAAACCTTCGGCTGCTTATTGTTTTGGATTGCGTGTCGTCAACCCCACTCTATAGTGGCAAGAGGAAACCCTTGATGCCATTACACCTATGCCTCACAAGTGTAAGCATTGATTGTTTTAAGCCTTAGGTCACGGCTTGTTCCTGTAATGGAAAACTGTCATTGGGTAAACTGACCAACAACGCTGTCTTTATATCAGGCTATCATTAGATCATATGGTTCAGTTGGACTTTGTCTTTTTGGCATATCAAAAAACCACCAAATGATATGAACACCATCATCTGTTTGAATGCTGTTTAGTTCTGACAGCGGTTGCTAACTCCATCTGCTCTAGCAACATGTGGCCAGGAGCCAACTGTGATTTTGAGTTATTTTCTTAAAACTTATTTGGCTGGTAAAACAGTTCAAGTGGTTGTGGGTTGTTGTTTTTTTTCAGAGGAATGTTCCAGTTAGTGCGGCCACTGGACAAAAAAAGGTTGTTTTCCAACCCAACTGCCAATATACAGTAGGCTGCATTTACAGACAAACCTGGCTGAAACTATATATTTTACAGTTTGTAAGTCACTACAGTAACAGGAGTGGTATGACAAGGATCATATAGGTTTGGCATCATCATATACTGTAAGTGTAATGTGTTGAATGAAAATCAAAGACTGCATATTTTTCTAAAACATTTTCTCCAAAAACAAAACAAAATAGAGTATCTTAATGGCTCCCAAGGCAATGGTGGAGCTTACTGATATAATATATCAATAAAAGTAAAGCAAAAGGAAGTTTGATAGTAAAAGAGAGCCTTAGTAGATTTAAGAAGGCATTTAAAAATGATGCACATTTAGTGATACTTACAGGGAGGTCTGTGAAGGCTACACCTAAGGGACAAAAAGGACAAAAGGTTAAAGAATATTCAATGATTTCCAGCTATAAATTATGCGGTAAATAACAAACAATGCATTACTGTATCACACAATTGAAATCCAAGTTCACAAACCTAAACTGATGCCGTTTTTGGTGTAAAAGCATGTGTTGTTGATGAGGTTAACGCAGCAGCCAATCACGTCCCCTGTGGTGAACGTCGGGCCGTACGGTTGGCCGGTCCCGGAGGAGCAAAAGGAGTGGCCGTCATCTCCGTGGTAACCGTATGAGTGCTTGTCCCATCCTAAAATAGGAAAAGGATTAGGATTAGTTACGAAAAAAGTTGGGAAACGAGGTTAAATGAGTCTGCTTCCTAGTCAGTGTCATACTGCAGTGCTCAGTTTCCTGAATACAACGGAGCATCTGAGGTGAAGTGAATTGCTCGAGGTCACTCTTACGTCGCACTGAAGCAGGAGAGACAGTTAGTCATTGACTTTTGCTGCTCAGATTTTCCCATCAGACTACCACTGCCTGCAGGGCGTTTCATGAGAATGCACGCTGACGCACACAGACACACTTTCTGAGTCTTTGGCATGGCGTGCAGTGCTGAGGGCGGCCAGCAGGAGGATCTCTGCTATGAAACTGGTGAGTCACTGACAACAGGAACAGCAGCTCCTTAATGTTTTGTCCCTGCTGGTAATGATGCATGTGTAGGTTAAGGTGTGTTAGTTATGCAGCTGTAGAGTTTTTTCAGTATACCACTCAGTAAGCGCATTTGCAAACGCTTTATTTTGCAATTCTATATTTTCCGTATAACTTCCAATGAGATTTTTCTAGAACGCAGTCGGTTCAAAAGGAAAACATGTCAATATACTTCTTTCACAACAGATGTTTTGACCAGTCCTTGAAATGATACAAATAACCGAATAAAAATGGGTCCATTTTTAAACTGCAACAATTATTACCAACTATTTTGTCAATGGTTAATTGACAAAGTAATTTTTCATGCAAAACTGTCAGAACATTTAGTTTACAACCCCTTAAATGTGTACATATCCTGCTTTCCTCTGTTTATTATCACTTAATAGTGAGTATTTGGGGGGTTTGGACTGACCAAACAAGACAGTAGAGAGAGCAGTATTCTCATCAAACCCTCAACAGGAATGCAAATAAAATACATTTCCAAAAGTATAAAAACATTCCTTTCGTTAAGTTATGATCCCTCAAAACAATGTGCACAGAAAAGCACATAATTTTCAACACATATATGGATAATTAAGTTTCCACTTATAAATGAATGATGCAAAAATATGTACTTAGTTGCCTATAATTTCATTACAAAATTATTTTGAGGAAATTGGCTTTAAAATTATAAATGGTAAATGTATTTATATAGCACTTTACCCAGTCTTTACAACTCGCTCAGAGCACTTTTACATAAACAAGTCAGGGTTCATCCATTCACACACATTCATACAGAGGCAGGGGCTGCCAAGGACCCTACATGGACACATATTCACTCTGGCCATTTGGGGCCTCATAGGGTTAAGTGTCTTGTTGACTATAGGGGCCCACAACCCACAACCTCACAAATTAAAGACAACCGCACTACCTCACAACCAGTCACCATTGAACCATTCATTTGAACAATTATCTGGAATTTCCCAATAGAAGCCATCAATCCCACCAAATCATTGTAAAAGATTACTGCATGAAGCTTAAATGTGAAAATGACGTGGGGTTCCCAATGGAGTGGTGCACAGATGAAGGACCGATCCCAAACCACGCCCTACACCCTACACCCTCCGTGACGGAGTGAGTGACAATCGCAGCTCCACGAGGCTCCCTCCTGTCAGATGGAGGGAGTAAATACAGTGGCAAGCTTTGGGACGGCCTCCCCTCTCTCCGGCAGGAACAGGAAGTGCCGTAACTGTATGTAACAACAATTTCAAATCAACATCTCTTTGACAAAAAATGTAAATTAATAACTCAAATAAAACTCCAAACATCTTTAATTGTGATACTTTTTTGTAAAGCTTTTTTAGTTTTAAACCTGATGTTTATAAGCTTCTTAGTTTTTGCAACAGTCTGTAAATATACACAACTTTAAAATAAAATGCACACATTTACCTTTTTCTAGACTAAACACAGGTATGATCCTAAGTTAAAACATATGAGGTTATCATGAGGTTGTTAACATCGCAATTTATCAGCGGATGTTTGCTGGAACTACTTTTAAACAGCGTGTTTCCTGACGGACACACACAGCGTTGAGTCCGGTCAGGTAGAGACAGGTCTCAAGTCAACACCGATGCAGACTCGCTGTTTGAGGGCTTGATAACCCACTCCCCCTCCACACCGCTCCACACTCGTTGCTTTGGAACAGCACTTAATGTGGCGGACCCTCCGCACGAACGCGCAAACGGAGGGGTAGGGTTTAGGGCGTGGTTTGGGATTGGGCAGAAGTCTTTTTTGTAGGCCAAACTGGAAGTTAGCATGGTAACAGGGACGTTGACAAAAACCATTGGGATTTCGGGAATATTTCAGTAAAATAAATCTTTGCCATACATTAATAAGTATGGTTATGTAAAAAGAGCTAAGGTTAGACTATAAATTAACTACATCACGCTACATGGCGCTGCATCAACACCGCTAAGCTAAAGGTGGCTAATGTTCTCTTGTTTGCAATACGACATTTAGTAGTCTCTATTAGTAATTTGTTAGCAACGGCCATTTTTATTTCCAATAGAAGCTTCGGACATTCACCAGTGGGGTATTTACTGACATATAAAATGTAATAGAACAAAACATAAAAATGTATTAAAGGTCCCATGTCATGCTTTTCTGGTTATTACCCGTCCCCTTCTGTGTTATGAAGGTTTTTATGCATGTAAACGGTGTGCAGAGTCAAAACCCTCAAAGTAAACCCTGTAGCGAGTAAAACTCTAACACAGAAAATACCTCCCCAAAACGCCTCGTTGGAGATACGTCATTGTCCATTTGATTCTTCCGGGTGCGCATGATGTCAACCGTACCCGGAACGAAATGGACCAATCCGTGGAGCCGTTACGTTAGCCCCCGCTGATTGGTCCAAATTGACCAATCCACGGACTTCCTCACACACACACTCAGTGCATGCAGCTCTGCTGATCTCTCCTCCCTGGCTGCAGGCTGATAACAGACAGTTGGGATCGTGGCGAAATTCTCTCTGCAGACCCATTCTCACAGCGTTTATCAATTTATCAACCTTTTTCTTACTCAATATCAACCCACACTTATTGTTTTTACTTAGGCTGTGACTTTGTGTGTGCTCAGGGTGAGTTTGGCTGTGTTTCGCTGTGTATCGCTAAACAAGGAAACCACACCTCCACGGAGCTCAGCGCGATTCACAACATCCCGACCAATCAGAGCACACTGTGCTCACAGGGAGGGG